GGCGATCCCTCCGTTGTGGATGCACCAGAAGAAGCACCTGTCATATCCGATGTCATCTCGAACAGATATGGCTTCGCTGTTAGATGCGGCAGTGGACTTTATAAGGGAGCTGGAGGTGAGGAGAATTAGTAGGGCAGTATCAGCAATTCAGTTTAAATTTTTCCTATTCATTTTTGTAGAATTGACTAACAATATGTTGTGCATTATTACTGTGGTGTGCAGGACCAAACGGCCCAACTTTCACAAGCTCTCAGCAAGTGTTAGTGCATCACAAAAGCAAAAACAAGAAGTATTAAAATGGGTACAAGAGTATTCAATGGTACTTGTGCTACCATGTTTGATGTTCACTCATGCATTCGGTCACATCACATCGTCAATCTCTTTTGTCGTTCGTGCACTTTTTCTTCTTTCGGCCCTTCACACTTGTAGAACATCCCAAGAATAAATATTAAAAAGGACGAAAAAATCGAATGTCTACGAAATCATATGGGAAAACATAGAATCAGACATCAGGTGAATTTAGTACAGTATGGACGTCACTGGTTGCAACTCCCAAATTCAAAAGTATATTATACAGCTCTGGAAACGCCTAAGAAGCCATGCTGAGAACATATATCCCTTATAAAGCACCCCATTACTAAAGAACAGGAGCCTGCTCCCTCTTCTCATCTCCCACCAGCAGGGCCCAAAATTGGTCTAGGCCCACCTTGTCTAACCTAAGTTGAGCCCCGTCTCACCCTGACTGTCTAGGGTAAATTTTTCGCTAGACTGATGAATACAGTGTAATTTTTTTTCCAGCCTGATGGCGTCAGTGTGACTAATTCCAAAGACTGATTTACAGAGTACTATTTTCGTTACACTGACAGTAGTCTAATACAACAAGCGGCGGTGACTAATGAATTATAATTGTAGCAATGGCAATGCTTCTCACATGCATTTATTCACTTCACTCACTGCTTGGCAAGCTACTCTGCAAACCACTACTGTCGCCCACAAACTGGGTGTCGCACTCCCTGGTCCCATTGAAGTCTGTGGTGGGGCGCCTGAGCTTCTCCCCCCTGAAAATCGCCACCACATCGAACCAGTCAATTTCGTACTGGAGCAAGGAGCAGCGCATAAGATAGTCGAGGCTGCTGCCAGAGAGGCTGCCACGGTCCCAGGTTTTGATCAAATTCTGTTTACTGAAGCCTCTCTCACACTCGACAGTACTGAGAGGCAGGACCGCTACTGCTTGCCAGAGCAGCATGTGTCAGAGGTCCACTGGTGATCCCCGATCGATCCTAGGGAAGGGTTACAGGCTCGTTGTCCTGGGGGGTTATGGGCGCACTGACCCGCTACTTAACAAGCCCTTTTATCTCAATGGTCTAGTGGTTGGGATTCTGACATGGTATCAGAGCGAAGGTCTCGGGTTCGAATCCCAGTATGTGCACTTCGGGCATCCCAGTGCGGGGGGGTGTTAGAGGTCCACCGGTGATCCCCGATCGATCCTAGGGAAGGGTTACAGGCTCGTTGTCCTGGGGGGTTATGGGCGCACTGACCCGCTACTTAACAAGCCCTTTTATCCGTGGTTGGGATTCTGACAGCATGATGTTGGGGAAGGACTGTTGCCATGAGTCATCGCGCAGCATGTTGGCAAGAGCTTGGTGGAAGTCTTCATTGTGATGCTGTGAAAACATGGTACTCGTGAAAATCCACAGCTCTGCGCGCGCTTTGCTGTGGTTAAACCCTATTGATCGGGGAAAAAGGTACAATAAGAAACTCGAAGAGGGTGGGAGGAGAGGGCGGTTTTAAACCAAACAGCCGAGCAAACAAGACAGTACGACAACAGTAGACTCCACACCATCAATCACCCAAGAAATTCAACAAGCGCGAACAGTTTTCAAGCATGCTACGGATTTCGTACCAGGGAGTTCATTGTGGTAGAGCTTGTGGAGTTGCTGCAGCCGTCGTTTGAAGGCAGCGAGGCGCTTGTCATCGTCAGGAAGGTAAGACGCTGTATCAAACAGCTTCGCGCCTTCTAGGTTCTTGAATTCACGGTACCGCCACTCCAGCTCATCGTCCACTGCACGCACAAACTTCAGCGAGAGTTCATAGCAGGCAGCCACAAGGCTTGGAGTTTCCTTCCCCTCAGAGTCACGTTCATGCAGGTCGAATTTGAAGGTGACCGGATTTCCCTCGCCATCTACCCCTTCAGCCTTCATCTCCCGCTTCTCCTTCGATTGGTGTTTCTTGATGAACTCTGAAAGGCGCATCCTCTCCCCTCTACCGAACTGGTGGCCTTGTTGAGTGCTGTTATAGCGAGCATTCAGACGCATCTACGTCTGCTCGACGAGAGGGCCCACCAGCGTGATGTCGATCTGTAAATGCTCAACACGCTATGTCAGTACGGGAGAACTCGTACATGTCAGCAAATTTCAAAGAGAGCTATCATATCATACCTTTCTCTACTGGAACTGCAAGCTAAGCGTGTTGAGCTCCGACATCACATCCACCAAAAACCGAAGGAGCCAGTGGAATTTGAACGAGGTGACCACCTCGTACAAATCCTGGCGGTACTCCTTCAGCAAGACAATAGTAGCAGGCGCTCCAGTGCCTCCCCACGTGACAGCCAGCGCGCGTCGAAGATTCCTTGCTCCTCGAGGTTAGTCTTGCAAAACACCTGCTGCAGATTCTGGAACTTCTGGTACTTGACACCACTTCGCCCGAGAATGTTTGAGAATGCGCGGACCACCTCGTCCACCATGCTCAGCTCCGGGACCGCTTCAGCTGCGTCCTTGGCGGCAAGCGCCTCCCTGCCACAAGGCAACCAACCAGGTTAGTCAGATGAGTACAACGATTAAGCACACCGCGGTCTTTATTTACCATGCAAATTGGTGACCTACCGATGGGCGATGCAGTGCGTCGAAACAAGATGTGGAATCCGCGATCTGAGACGGGTCGCGACGCCAGGGTTCTGCCCTGCCATGACACTGGCCCCGTCCGTTGAGAATGCACTGATTTTCTGCAAGTCAAGTCCAGTTTGCGTCAGATATTGCACGAGAACAGACGTCAGCGATGCAGCGTCACATCGGTCAACTGTGAGCAGCGTGATGAACTCGGTTGCCACCTCCCTAGCTTTGAAGAAAGTGCTGTAGACAATCAAATGCTTCCCGTGAATTCTGTCCGTGCTCTCGTCGACCGCGAGGCCGATCCAAGGGGAGTCAAGGAGGTGCGACCGCTGTGATTCTTGCAGATATGTGGAGATAGCCCGCAAGTTCTCTTTGAAACCATAACTGCATAGGGAAACATACACGATTTACATAAGTACTTCATCCAGTGGTATGCGGCCAAAACATCGCCATACTGAATAACACACCTGCTCTGTGTAGTAGGCTCCATATCCGCCTTCCCGAGATAGGTCCGGAAGACCCTCCTTCGCCAGGAACCAACACAGCGGTACAAACATGGCAATAGGAGCGTCAGCCTTACAAATAAATAAAGCGATGTGGAGAATGCGGATGATATGGCGCGTGGCGGCGTTTGTCGTCTGCCACAGCGTCAACATGGCCTGCCTCTATTTGTCCGCCTCCGCGCGTTCTTGCTCTTTCAGGGCTTGCTTGTGAGCTCGGGTCGAAACGCGCGTCCTGATGCTACCGATCTGCAGATCTCGTGCGCCCTCACCCCTCACGCCGTAGCTGGTGTGCGCAGCAGGGTCTCCATACTTGATGCAGATGTCGCACTTAAGCCCAGGTCGCCCGTCCTTTTTGCGCACGAGACGCAACCACGAAAACTTCCCAGACCATTCGGTGTCGAATCGGTGCTTGATGAGATCGAACGTTGCCTCTTCCGCCGTCTTCGAACATCATCCTCCTCGCGCTCCGCCGTTTTGGGAGGAGATGCAGACGTGCGTGGTGGCGGCGCGCCCCATAGACGCTGCTGGATGTATTTTACACCCACGCGTTGACGTTTCCCGGGCGCACTCTGCGCAGTTGATGGAGTCTCTGTGACACCTCTGGAAGATCCCTCACCACCGCCTGGAACAAGGACAATTGAGGGGTGTGGCTCGAATGCAGAGGGTGAGTTAGGAGGCTCAAACGGGTACACGACACAACCGTGTTGCACGGGAGAGGGAGCACGAGGCACTTGCTCGACGGGAGTACTGTAATCTTGCGATAGTGGCGGAAGAACGCCAAGCACGTAGAGGCCGTTTTGGCGAGGTTCTGGTGGATCCGCGGAATCATGCTCGGCTGGCATGATTGGTAAGCAGGAGAGGTAGGTGTGGGGGTGGAACAATGAAACTCCTGGTGAAGAAAGAACGGGGCGAGCAAGAAAGGACCCCCTTCCTTTCACAACCACCCACCCACGAAGCGCCCATGCATGCATGGATCAGATCCGTGCAGCACGTGAAGATGCAGTGTGGTGTTGGCAGTTCCTTCACCTTCAGCAACTTCAGCGCGCTGCCAAGTAACGCTGGCAAACATATCTGCCTGGGTGGCAGATATGTTGTCAATCGGCCCGATGGTGGGTCTCCGCACAGCGGGGGAAAAATTGTCCACCGCACGTTGGGAACACAGCGCAGGGCGGCAGGGCGTTACGTGAGGGGTGCAGTGAATCAGGGCGAATCCTCGCTAAGGGAGACTCGGTTTCAGGGTAACTCAGAACAGAACCCACCCTTTCTACACAGGGAAACGAAACGCCTACGCTGAATTTGTAAGGGTAATAAAAAAACCATTGATTGGAAGAAGGGTAACATAAACCATAGCCGGTCTAGATCAGGGTAACAAGAACCATATTTTGAGCCCTGCCCACCAGTGCTAGTCATGCCCTAAACCCTTGCAAACCCCCTTGCAAATCCCTGCACACCCCTCCTAGAGCACAAGGTCGGGAAGCAGCAGCTGCTGCTGCTTGCGCTCCTCCTCGTCCTCCTCATCCATCTGCCTCAACTCCGCAATTCTCTCCCTTCACATGCCCTCCACCACCTCCCCTTCCACCTCTCCTTAAGGCACTACCACACACCCCTCCTACAGCACAAGGTCTAGCAGCAGCAGCTGCTGCTCCCGCTCCTCCTCGTCCTCCTCATCCATCTGCCGCAGCTCCGCAATCCGCTCCCTCCACATCCCCTCCACCACCTTCCATGTCTCGTCGCTCACCGCCTGCACCTGCTGCGGCCGCGGCGCCCCAAAGGTGGCGTAGCCGGAGTTGCCCGGGTGGAAGGTGACTCGCCCGGGGAGGGAGGCGCCGTGAATGCCCCACCTGCCCTGGTGGACCAACACTGCATACTCATCGATAGGTCGCACTAGGGGCTGTTATTAGGGGGGGGAGGGGAGATAGAGTGGGGAGAGAGGGGAATGGAGGGAGGGAGGTTCCGTGAATGCCCCACCTGCCCTGGTGGACCAACACTGCATACTCATCGATAGGTCGCACTGGGGGCTGTTATTAGGGGGGGGAGGGGAGATAGAGTGGGGAGAGAGGGGAATGGAGGGGGGGCATGCGGTATGGAGTGAGATTCAGGAATGGAGATGGGATGGGGATGGAGAGGTGACAGGGAAGGAAGGAAGCCGGAAGGAAAAATGTGCAGGGTGTTATCGAGAATTCTCAAAAACACCCTGCTACACCAACTTCCAACGTGTTTAAAGAAGTGTTTTGAGACTTCCTCCATTTACTATTTGAAGACCCTAGGTCTCAAAACACTTCCTCAAAAACACCCTGCTACATCAACTTCCAACGGACCTAACACGCACACCTGCAACTAAGAAACACACATATCACAAGCACATACCTGGGGAAACTTGGGAGCAGCATCATAGATCCTGAGAATGGCGTCTCCTGTCACCTCGCCCTCCTCCAACAGACGCTCTGAGTGGGTTAAGAGGGGTGGTGTGCGGTTGAGGGGGGTGGTATCCAGTTGAGGGGGGTTAAGTGTTGTACGGGGTTGTTAGGGGGGTTATGTGTGGGTAGGGATGGAGGAATGGTGGCACAAGTTTTTGAGTCGAGTTTTTTGTCGACTCAAAAACAAGAGAGGGTATAATGGGCGGAGCAGCAGAGAAGATGCGGTGGATGGCGTCTCTTCTCCTGTCACCTCGCCCTCCTCCAACAGACGCTCTGAGGGTGTTCAGGGGGGTGGTGTGCGGTTGAGGGGCCAGGGGGTGGGGAGAAGGGGACAAGTGAGGGCAAGATGGGAGGAGGACAGGGGGGTATGTGTGCGTGCTGTTGATGGCGTCTCCTGTCACCTCGCCCTCCGCGTGTGATGAGTCGGTTTCTGAGTCGACTCAAAAACCGACTCATCACACGCGTGAGGGCAAGATGGGAGGAGGACAGGGGGGTATGCGTGCGTGCTGTTGATGGCGTCTCCTGTCACCTCGCCCTCCTCCAACAGACGCTCTAGGTGAGTTCAGAGGGGTGGTGTGCGGCTGAGGGGAGTACGTGCGATGTTTTAGGCATATGTGTATGGGTTAAAGGGTGGGGAGGTGGGAAATACGGTGAAGCGCGTCTCCTGTCACCTTGCCCTCCTCCAACAGACGCTCTAGGTGGGTTCAAGGGGGTGGTGTGCGGTTGAGGGGGGAATGTGCGTTTGAGGGGGGAATGTGCGGTTAATGGTGTGTTGGGTTATGTGTGAGTGGGGGTGGAAACGAGGTGGACCAATGAAGGGCAATATGTTGGGGCAGCAGTGAAGATCTGGTGAGGGGGTAGGTGGGGGAACGGGGGTGGTGGTGGATGGGTGGGGTGGGGAGCACGAAGGGGGGAAGGTGGGAGGGGGAGGGATGTGTGGAGTGGAAGGTAAGGGTTTTTTGAGGGAGGGGGAGGGATGTGTGGAGTGGAAGGTAAGGGTTTTTTGAGGGAGGGGGAGGGATGTGTGGAGTGGAAGGTAAGGGTTTTTTGAGGGAGGGGGAGTGATGTGTGGAGTGGAAGGTAAGGGTTTTTTGAGGGAGGGGGTGTGGGGGTTGTTCTTACCTGCAATGGTGTCCACAGCTGATCTGTACTCTTTAAGAACAGCCTCGCATTTCGCCTTGGAGTAGCGCATGTACTCTTCCCTTAGAGCGATGACCTTGGGAATGAGCTGTATGGGAGGAGGGGAGAGGAGAGGAGAGGAGAGGGGAGGAGAGGAGAGGAGAGGAGAGGAGAGGAGAGGAAAGGAGAGGAGAGGAGAGGAGAGAAATGAGTGCTTGTGAGTTATGTTAAGGAATCTCAATGCACACTCGCATGCGACATTAAGTCCTTGTCTGTCTCATAAACCACCCACCTTCCCCAGAGCTCTCATCCCCTCATCACTGCTTCTCATACACCACTGCGGTGCCAAATATGTCTAGTATAAGAAATATATTATACATGACATTGGCGTATACATATATATTAGCATCATGTACACTCACATGCGGCATAAGGTCCTTCTGTGTCTCGTAAACCACCTTCCCCAGCGCGCTCATGCCGCTCCTCAGGATGACATAGTCTGCCAGTTGAACCGCTTCCCTATAGGCCACCCCCGCCTGCCAGCTCACATTCGCCGCCCCAAACACCATGCGCTCCATTATAGCGGCTGCATGGCAAGTGGAGAGAGGACAGGAATAGGCGGGGGTGAGAGGCAAGGAGTCAGGAATTTGCCGCTCCTCAGGATGACATAGTCTGCCAGTTGAACCGCTTCCCTATAGGCCACCCCCGCCTGCCAGCTCACGTTCGCCGCACCGAACACCATGCGCTCCATGATAGCAGCTGGGGGGGTGAAGCAGTGGGGCAAGGCCTGGGAGTCAGGTCATTGTGGCTCCTCAGGATGACATGGTCTGCCAGTTGAACCACCTCTCTGTACGCCACCCCTGCTTGCCAGCTCACGTTGGCCGCTCCAAAAACCATGCGCTCCATGATAGCAGCTGCAAGGCAGGTGGGGAGAAAGGGGCAGGGAGTGGGGCGAGCAAGTCAGGCAATTGCCGCTTCTCGGGCTGACTTTTGAGTCGACTCAAAAGGCAGCTGTAAGGCAGGTGGGGAGAAAGGGGCAGGAAGTGGGGCGAGCAAGTCAGGCAAGTGCCGCTCCTCAGAATGACATGGTCTGCCAGTTGAACCGCCACTCTGTACGCCACCCCTGCTTGCCAGCTCACGTTGACCGCTCCAAACACCATCCTCTCCATGATAGCAGCTGCAAGGCAGGTGGGGAGAAAGGGGCAGGGAGTGGGGCGAGCAAGTCAGGCAATTGCCGCTTCTCGGACTGACTTTTGAGTCGAATCAAAAGGCAGCTGTAAGGCAGGTGGGGAGAAAGGGGCAGGAAGTGGGGCGAGCAAGTCAGGCAAGTGCCGCTCCTCAGAATGACATGGTCTGCCAGTTGAACCGCCACCCTGTACGCCATCCCTGCTTGCCAGCTCACGTTGGCTGCTCCAAACACCATCCTCTCCATGATAGCAGCTGGTTGGTGGGGTCGGGGTGTGACGAGCGAGGCAAGAGATTCAGTGAGACAGCCGCAGGGTTCTCAGGAAGATGGGCAAGTGAACAAGGAAGTGGGTCCTCAGGATGACATGGTCTGCCAGCTGCACCGCCTCTCTGTACGCCACTCCTGCTTGCCAGCTCACGTTGGCTGCTCCAAACACCATCCTCTCCATGATAGCAGCTGGTTGGTGGGGTCGGGGTGTGGCGAGCGAGGCAAGAGATTCAGTGAGACAGCCGCAGGGCTCTCAGGAAGATGGCCAAGTGAACAAGGAAGTGGGTCCTCAGGATGACATGGTCTGCCAGCTGCACCGCCTCTCTGTACGCCACTCCTGCTTGCCAGCTTACGTTGGCCGCTCCAAAAACCATTCTCTCCATGATAGCAGCTGCAAGGCAGGTGGGGAGAAAGGGGCAGGGAGTGGGGCGAGCAAGTCAGGCAAGTGCCGCTCCTGAGGATGACACAGTCTTGCCAGCTCACGTTGGTCGCACCAAACACCATGCGCTCCATTATAGCAGCTGTTACAGAGGGGGAGGGTGAGACGGAGATGACAGCATGTAGGTGGGGCATCACTCCAGCTCCTGAGGATGACTTAGTCTGCCAGTTGAACCGCCTCCCTATAGGCCACGTGAAAACAGAAGTGTTTTGAGACGTCTCAAAACGCCTCCCTATAGGCCACCCTGCCTGCCAGCTCACGTTGGCCGCACCAAACACCATCCTCTCCATTATGGCAGCTGTTTGTGAGGGGGGTTGCTGACATGAGTGGTGGTTGAAGGGACATGCGCTCAAACCACACTGAAACGCCCCAAACCGCTCTGAACTACCCTCGATTACACTAGATTCCCCCAAACTGCACTGGCAACCCCAACCGCACTCGAATCCCCCGAACCGTGCTGAACCGCTTCACTCGCGTGCGAAGGCGCGCACGATAGCGTCGAGCATGTCCTGCTTGACGGCAAAGCAGCAGTGGCACGAGCGAGCAGACACGCTCTTACCCATGTGACTTTTGAGTCAAATCAAAAGACTTTTGAGTCGACTCAAAAGTCACCTCTTACCCATGTGAAACGCACCAAACCTCGCTGCAACGCCCCAAGCTGCACATGCACTATAACGCTCCGAACCACACTAGTTTCCCTCAAACCGCACTGAACCACATCACTCACGTGCGAAGGCGCGTACGATGGCATCGAGCATGTCCTGCTTGACAGCGAAGCAGCGGTGGCGCACCCTCTCATGCTCCAGGTTGGGGAGAGGATCAACGTTGTCAAGAGACGTCTGGCGGGGAGGGGGGTGGGGGCAAGGTGAGAGGGGAAGCATAACTAAGGGGGGGAGGAGAGCAGTATTGGGTGCCAGCGGTAGCGCACCCTCTCGTGCTCCAATTTGGGGAGGGGGTCGACACTGTCGAGAGACGTCTGACAGGGAGGAAGGTAGAAAGAGGGGTAATGTTTGGGGCCAGGTGGAAATGAAGGAGAGGTTTCATGTGCTGCTTGATGGCAAAGCAGTCCAATCGAGCCCCATTTAGAGGCCATGGTGCAATACGTGGCTGCAATTTGTTGAAAGTGACACCGGAGTAGGGGTGGAAATGAAGGAGAGGTTTCATGTCCTGCTTGACGGCAAAGCAGCGGTGGCGCAACCTCTCATGCTCCAGGTTGGGGAGAGGATCGACATTGTCCAGAGACGTCTGATGGGAGGGGTGCGTAAGAGGTCTGATGGAAGGGGTGCGTAAGAGGCAGCAATGAGCATTTGAAGCGTGTAGAAACTCATTCAATTTAGAACTCACCCTCTTGATCGGGCCTGACCTGATCTGTCCGGCAGGGCGCACTCCAACACAGCAATGGAGGCCTCGCGATAAGCCCAACAGAGGCACAGGCAAGCAGAGTAACACAGACACATGCACAGACATGCTTACATACACACATTCTCACCCTCTTGATCGGGCCTGATCTGTCCGGCAGGGCGCACTCCAACACAGCAATGGAGGCCTCACGATAAGCCGCCCGCATGCGCACCTCCCGGCTGTCTAACACGTCCTCCTCGCCTGTTTTGAACTCGCCAGCTTGCTGCAGGAATGGAACAGGGGTATGCATGGAAAGGCACAAGGCAGGCAGGATGGTTGGGTTGGGGTTCAGGCCTCACGGTAAGCCGCCCGCATGCGCACCTCCCGGCTGTCTAACACGTTCTCCTCTCCCGTCTTGAACTCGCCAGCTTGCTGCACGCACGATTGGGAAGGGGGATGGGAGGGTAAGGAGTTATCCCTCTGCAGTAAGCTGCTCGCATGCGCATCTCCCTACTGTAACACACTACTACGACTTTTGAGAATTCTCAAAACTAATACGACTTTTGAGAATTCTCAAAAGTGCTCGCATGCGCATCTCCCTACTGTAACACCACTAATATGACTAAACCTGGTATACACCTAGAAGACCGAGCTTTGACCTGGTCAACGCCCCCCCACAGGCTGACTTACCCCGTCGTTTTTTAGAATTCTCAAAAACAACCTGCAAGACCGTGCTTTGACCTGGTCAACGCCCCCCCACAGGCTGACTTACCCGGTCAATGGCTTGAAGCAGCTCCTCCCTTTCAATCTCATCCTTATCCTTGCGGATGGCTAGAATAGCTGCTTCATTGCTGACAGTGGTGTGATGCGGTGGAGAGAGGTTGAGAAGGCGCAGAAAGGGTTGGCAAGGGGTGATAAGGGGTGAAAAGGGGGAGCATATTGGGTTAAGACAGGTTGTAATGCTAAGTGAGAAGCGGTGGCTGGTCTACCTTGCTGGATGAATGCGTAGGGTACAGGGTAAAATGTATACCTCGCTCGTTGTTATCATTAATATGACTATTTAAAATATTACTCACAGGATATTCATAAGCTCGGCTCCACTGTAGTTGAGTGTAGCAGCGGCTACTCCCTCGGGAGCATTCTAGCCAAGTGCAGCAGCAGATGTGGCTGCGTCTATAAATGGAAAAGATTCCAAAAATAACTTACAGGATGTTCATAAGCTCCGCTCCACTGTAGTCGGGTGTAGCAGCGGCTATCTCCCTCAGGAGCTTCAGCTTCTCCTCTTCCGACTTGAACGCCTTGTTGCGCGCATGCACCTTAACAAGGAAGACAATAACGGGGATTAAGTTGACAGAATATCAGAGAGGGGCAAGGGGGAGGAGGAGGGGGGAGGGGGGGAGAGAGTTTCAGCTTCTCCTCTTCCGGCTTGAACGCCTTGTTGCGCGCGTGGACCTTAAAAGGGAAGACAATAACGGGGATATAGGGGAGAAGCAGGGGAAAAGGGAGCTTCAGACTTGAAAGCCTTGTTGCGCGCGCGCACCTTAACGGGGAAGGCAACGGTGGGAATATAAGGGAAGCGGTAATAAGGAGAACAAGGGGAGGGGAGGCGGTGGGAGGGTGTGGAGAGAGGAAGAAGTGGGGAGAGACGGGGGAGAACTGTCCCTCCTCCGTGGCAGCCCCACGCACACCACCTTGCAGAAACCAGCCACGGAACAGCTTTCTCCTGAACCCACATGAGCGATCAACATGCAACATTATCTTCTTGATCTCACCTTCAGTCTTCGGGGCACAACTCGTTCTCACTTTGAGCACTGAGAATCGCCCCTCCTCTGTGGGCAGACCAGACCCGCGCGCACCACCTTGTCAAACCGCCCCTTGCGCAGCAGATGAGCCAGCACCCTCCTGAATCCACCTCACCAATCCACTTGAACTCACTTTGAGCACTGAGAATCGCCCCTCCTCTGTGGGCAGACCAGTCCCGCGCGCACCACCTTGTCGAACCGCCCCTTGTTTGAGGCAAGGCGTAAAATAGGGCAAAGCAGCCCTATCAATCCACATGCATGAGAAGTAAACACACTCACTCATACCTTGAGCACTGAGAATCGTCCTTCTTCTGTGGGCAGTCCCACGCGCACCACCTTGTCGAACCGCCCCTTGTTTAAGGCAAGGCGTAAAATAGGGCAAAGCAGCCCTATCAATCCACATGCATGGGAAGTAAACACACTCACTCATACCTTGAGCACTGAGAATCGTCCTTCTTCTGTGGGTAGTCCCACGCGCACCACCTTGTCGAACCGCCCCCTTGCAGTTGAAGGCAACGTGAGGTACAAGCCAAGGGCAAGCAATCCTTCCATTCCAGCATGCATGTAAGCACGAGAGAACCAAACACACCCATTCGTACCTTGAGCACGGAGAACCGCCCCTCCTCGGTTGGCAGACCCACGCGCACCACCTTGTCAAACCGCCCCTTGCGCAGCAACGCAGGGTCGAGCATGTCTAGACGGTTGGTGGCGCCGATGACCAGCACCTGGAGGGGAGGAGAGTGGGTAGAAAAGGGTAGGTGGCTGGGTGGGGGGTGACACAGAGGGGATGCGTGCATACACCGCAGCAGAGCAGGGTCCAGCATGCCAAGACGGTTGGTGGCGCCAATGACCAGCACCTGGAGGGGAGGAGAGTAATGGGGGGGAACAGGGGGGGATATGGGAGACGAACGTCAGGGCAACAGAGGGGCAGCAGCGCTGGGTCGAGCACCTGGAGGGGAAGGTAGAGGACAGGGAGGGGGCAAAACAGGGGGAAGGGCGGCGGAGGAAAGGGGGGAGATGGGGGGAGAGGATGGATTAATCAGCCCCATGCGCACCACCTTGTCGAACTGCCCCTTGACGGTTCGTGGCGCCGATGACCAGCAGCACCTAGAGGGAAATAGCAGGAGGAAAAGAGGCGGGCGGGGCAGGATGGGGGGAGAGGATGGGATAAAGGAGCACCACCTTGTCAAACCGCCCCTTGCGGAGGGGTGGTCGAGTGCATTGCATAAGGCGCCCCTTGCGCAGTAGCGCAGGGTCGAGCATGTCCAGTCGGTTAGTGGCACCAATGACCAGCACCTGGAGGGGAGTAGCAGAGGGTAGGTGGGGTGGGGGGGTGTCACAGAGGGATTGGGCCTCTAGAGGCCCCCTTGCGCCACCGTGTCAAACCGCCCCTTGCGCAGCAGAGCAGGGTCGAGCATGTCAAGTCGGTTGGTGGCACCAATGACCAGCACCTGAAGGGGAGGGGAGGAGAGGGGGGGGTAGTTGGGGTGGGGGGTTGTCACAGAGGGGTCGAGTGCATTGCATAAGGCGCCCCTTGCGCAGCAGCGCTGGGTCCAGCATGTCCAGTCGGGTAGTGGCGCCAATGACCAGCGCAGGAGGGTGCATGGGACTGCATGGGGGAAAGCAGCAGAGAGGGTGGGTTCATATAGCCGCGTACGCAGCAGCGCAGGATTCAGCATGTCCAGACGATTGGTGGTGCCAAGCCAATGACCAGAGGGAATGAGAGGAATTCAAGGCATGAGAGCATCCATTACGTGTATGAAGATTTGTTTTGAGACGTCTCAAAACGATTGGTGGCGCCAAGCCAATGACCAGAGGGAATGAGAGGAATTCAAGGCATGAGAGCATCCATTACGTGTATGAAGATTTGTTTTGAGACGTCTCAAAACGATTGGTGGTGCCAAGCCAATGACCAGAGGGAATGAGAGGAATTCAAGGCATGAACATCCATTCCATTTCCCCCTTTGCATCTGATTGCACCTTCCCTGCTTTCCTTTCTATCATCACTTACCTTAGCTTGACCTGGTTGATTCTATCAAGTCCCCCACCCTCTGTTTACTTTTTTTAATATTTATTTATTTATTTTAATCACCCTCGATATCTCACCTCCCTATAAAGTCACGCACCTTAGCTGGCCTGGTTCTCCAGGCCTGGCTGAATCCGTCCAGCTCTGTGAGGATCTGAATCAGCCCCTGCTCCCCCCACTGCCACACCCTCCGTCCTTTCTCTTATTTTGGTGCCACTTTCCCTACCATCACCTGCCTCTTATATCACCTGCCTCTTATATCACCTGCCTCTTATATCACCTCTCCTTTCGTTACAGGTGTGTTTTGAGTCGACTCAGAACACCCTTGGTGCCACTTTCCCTGCCTCTTACATTACCTGCCTCTTATATCACCTCTCCTTTCGCTACAGTCACGCACCTTGGCCTGGTTCTCTTGAAAGCCATCCAGCTCTGTGAGAATCTGAATCAGCCCCTGCTCCCGCTCGATGTTGCCCTGTATTTGCAACATCCATGCAAACAAAAGGAGAGTGGAATGGTAAAACAGAAAAGGCATTTGAGCTGACCCAAAAATCAAATAATGGGAGAGTGGAAGGGAAAAGAAGGGAAGACAGAAAAGAGAGGAACAAAAAAACAAGCTGCTGAAGCATGTGGGGAACCAAGAAAAGGAACAACCAACGACAAAAAAAATCATCACCGAATAACGATGGCATCGATTTCATCAATGAAGATGATGGCCGGAGCGAACCACTGCCACACTCCCAACCCCACACTCCCTCCCCCCTCCATCACTCGCTCACCCCTCCCTGGTCGCTGGCCGTGCCTCTCTTGGACCCGATCGCATCGATCTCATCAATGAAGATGATGGCCGGGGCCAGCTACCACACTCCCACCCCCACATTCTCCACCACTCGCTCCCTCACTCCCTCACTCGCTCCCTCACTCCCTCACTCGCTCCCTCACTCGCTCCCTCACTCCTTCCCCTCACCTACTCACCCCTCCCTGGTCGCTGGCCGTGCCTCTCTTGGACCCGATCGCATCGATCTCATCAATGAAGATGATGGCCGGGGCGAACTGGCGCGCTCTGAAAAACAGGTCTTTCACTCTCGACGCTGCCACTCCTGCAAACATCTGGTGGGTGGGGGGAAAGACAGTGAGGGGCGGAAGGGGGGGGGGGGGGGGGGGGGGCTAGGAAGCAGAGAGAGGCAGGCATCGATCTCATCAATGAAGATGATGGCCGGGGAGAACTGGTGTGCTCGAAAGAACAGGTCTTTCACTCTCGACGCTGCCACTCCTGCAAACATCTGGTGTTGGCAGGTGGAAAGAGAGACGGAGAGAGAATGACATGGGATGAATGAAGGTGATGGCTGCGGGAAACCGGCGTGCTCGAAAGAACGGATCCTTGCCTCTTGAGGCCGCCACGCCTGTGGGGTGGGGTGGGGACGGGGCTAAGTTTAAGCAGCATGTGGGGAAAGGCGTGGAATGGGAGGGGGTTGACTTTTGAGTCGACTCAAAAGTCTTGAGGCCGCCACGCCTGTGGGGTGGGGACGGGGCTAAGTTCAAACATCTGCATGTGGGGAAAGGGGCGGAATGGGAGGGGGGCGAACCGCCGTGCCCGGAAAAAAACAGCCATCCCTCTCCAAGTTCAAACCACCAAACCAAACTCACCTCCACAAATTCAGCACCAGAAACCGAAAAGAACGGCACCCCAGCCTCCCCAGCAATCGCCTTCGCCAGCAAAGTTTTTCCGGTTCCGGGCGGGCCGAACAGAAGCACGCCCTTCGGGCAGTACACGCCCAGGTCCTCGAATTCTTTGGCTGCCCGAAGGATCCGCACCACCTCCTGCAGCTCTCGCTTCACGTAATCCTGCCCGGCAAAATCGTCAAACGTGATTCCGGTCTTTTCTTCTGCTGAGATATACCGTGCCCTGGGATTAGGAAGCAGGAGAAGGGTGGAAGAAAAGGAATTGAAAAGGGTGGGGGGTGGTGAGATGAGGTGTAGAGGGGTGGGGCTTGGTGCAGTGCGGTGGAGGGCGGTGGGGTGGGTGGGTGGAGAATCCGCACCACCTCCTGCAGCTCTCGCTTCACGTAGTCCTGCCTGGTGAAGTCGTCAAACGCATTCTTCACTCGCTCCCTCACTCCCTCAATCGCTCCCTCACTCCCTCACTCGCTCCCTCACTCCCTCAGCTTCCTGTGGCTGCTTCTCAGCCGCTCCTCCAGCTTAGTCGGCTGGTACAGCGGAAACAGCACCCTCTCCAGCCCCACATACAGCCAGTCACTCCCTCTTTCCCTCACTCGCCCCCCCCCCCTCTTCCACCTGCTCTGCCCCATGGTATGGTCCCCATATCAGGGTTCAGCACGGCAGTGAGCTTCCTGTGGCTGCTTCTCGGCCTTCCTGAGCTCTTGCTCCTACAACGTAGTCGGTTGATACAGCGGAAACAGCACCCTCTCCAGTCCCACATACAGCCCACACGCTCCCTCCCCCCACCCTGCCCCTTACCCCCCCCCCCTCACCCCCGCTCACCTGCTCTGCCCCATGGTCCCCAGATCAGGGTTCAACACGGCTGTGAGCTTCCTGTGGCTGCTTTTCGGTCGTTCTTGGGCTCTTGCTCCCTCACTCTTCCCACACACACTATCTCTCCCCCCCTCTCTCCCCCTCTCCCCCTCACCTGCTCTGCCCCATGGTCCCCAGGTCAGGGTTCAGCACGGCAGTCAGCTTCCTGTGACTGCTCCTCGGTCGCTCCTCCAACTTCGTCGGTTGATACAGCGGAAACAGCACCCTCTCTAGCCCCACATACAGCCCACACGCCAGCGCCAATCTCAACCCCCACGTAGCAGCTAGCTGGATGGTCCCTACTGTGCTGCCTAGGAGACCGGCGGAGGAAGCCGGGAGGAGGGACGGGAAGAGGGAAGAGGAGGAGGGGGGGGAGGGGAGGGCGGTGGGGGCGGGGGCTGTGGTGGCGGAGATGGTTGAGAGGGTTGAGAGGGCGGAGGGGGTTGTGAAGGGCGCGGGGGGGAAGGCGGAGGGGCGGTTGGTGAGGGTGATGTGGGCGAGTTGGGTGCGCAGGAGAGACCAGACCTCTGAATGCACGTCTGCTGGCATGTGGCGCACCCTGTGCTTCAACCACACGACCTGATGGGAGAGGGGGGACACCACGCAGCACACACGGTGGGATGGAGAGAAGAGAGCCAAGGGAGGTGAGAAGAGAGCCAAGGGAGGTGCGAAGAGAGCCAAGGGAGGTGAGAAGAGAGCCAAGGGAGGTGAGAAGAGAGCCAAGGGAGGTGAGAAGAGAGCCAAGGGAGGTGCGAAGAGAGCCAAGGGAGGTGAGAAGAGAGCCAAGGGAGGTGAGAAGAGAGCCAAGGGAGGTGAGAAGAGAGCCAAGGGAGGTGAGAAGAGAGCCAAGGGAGGAGAGAAGAGAGCCAAGGGAGGTGAGAAGAGAGCCAAGGGAGGTGAGAAGAGAGCCAAGGGAGGTGAGAAGAGAGCCAAGGGAGGTGAGAAGAGAGCCAAGGGAGGTGAGAAGAGAGCCAAGGGAGGTGAGAAGAGAGCCAAGGGAGGTGAGAAGAGAGGGGCAGAGAGTCAAGGGAGGAGGGAACAGAGCTCGGAATGCACGTCTGCTGGCATGTGGCGCACCCTGTGCTTCAACCACACGACCTGAGAGGGAAGGGGTAGCAAAGTAAGGAGTGGAGTAGAGAAGGCTTTTGAGTCGCTCAAAAGCCACCTTGCTGGCATGTGGCGCACCCTGTGCTTCAACCACACGACCTGGGAAGAAGGGGTAGCAAAGCAAGGAGTGGAGTGGAGAAGAATGGGGCGGGCGGAGTAAAGATCCAACTGTGAGCTGAGCTGCGTGCTTTTGAGACGTTTTTTTGAGACGTCTTTTTGAGACGTTTTTGAGACGTCTCAAAAACACTCTTCTTTTAACGTGGAGAAGAATGGGGCGGGCGGAGTAAGGATCCAACCTGTGAGCTGAGCTGCGTGCACCACAGAGAAACCATCACACACTAGTCCCCCAACCTTCGTTTTTCTAAAGAAACTTCACAAAACAAGCTACCAAGCCCCCTTTAAGAATCTTAATAAGTGAATCATGCATTTACCTGGTCTGGAAGGCCCATGTGCCCCACAGCCTCTGCCTCTTCACCCGCCTCCTCCCCTTCTGCTCCTGCTCCTGCTGCTGCCCCTCCTGCTGCACCTACCACTGTTTGTCGCTCTGCCTGCTTCTCCGCATACCTGCTCTGGGAGACCCATGTGCCCCACAGCCTCTGCCTCTTCACCCGCCACCTCTCCCGCTTCCCCTGCTGCTGCTTCTTCTGCTGCCTTTGGCGCTGCTTGTCTCGCTGCCTGATTCCCCTTCTTCCTCGCCCCGTCGCCACGTTGCACCTCCAGCCCCAGATCCTTGGCGGGATGGGGGAGAATCACTGGCGGCGAATACAAAAAGGAGGTTGGGGGGAGAGGGAGAGGGCGAATGGGCGGGGGGAGAGGAGAGGAGAGGGGAGGGGAGAGGAGAGCGGAGGGAATGGTGGAAAAAAGGTTGGGAAAGGAGGGGCATGGAGGGGCATGGAGGGATTAGCATGGATTCTTTACAAACCTTCCCAAATTTCACCCTCCCCATCTGCAGCAGCGCCCAGAAATCCGCAAAATTTGAGTCCATCCAGACTTCTCCGGCTGTGTGCTGCTGTGCTGCCTCCTTCTCTCCTACCTTCCACAAACCGGCCGCTATCGCCGTAGTTGACAAACTTCACCCTCCCCATCTGCAGCAGCGACCAGAAACCGTCTACTTTTTCAGTCCTTCCATTCCATTCTCTACTCCTTCTCACTTACCTTCCACAAATCGGCCGTTATCGCCATAGTTGACAAAATTCACCCTCCCCGTCTGCAGCAGCGCCCAGAAATCCCATTGTGCCCAGCATAGCCCACAAGTGACATGACAAGTCCATTTATCATGTGCTATGCTTCCTCCTTCTCACCTTCCACGAATCTTCCATTGTCCCCATAGTTGACAAACTTGACCCTCCCCATCTGCAGCAGCGCCCAGAAATCCGCAAAGTCCACGTCAGCACCGGGCAGAGGGTCCCACTGGCTGCCACGGAGCCTTCCCAGAAGCTTCTTCGCCGCCCGCTTCCACCCGATCCTCGCCACCTCGTCCCGCTCTGCCTGGATCCGAAGCTGCCTCGCAACTTCCTCCTGCTGATTGAAACTTTCCACCTGGCGTTTCCTTAAGGCCTGAAGGGAACGGAGAAAAAGGAGGAGGGACGCAGGGGGGATGAGGGGGAAGAACGGTGGGGGCGAGGAGAGGGGAGCGGCGGGGAGGAGGAGGTTCAGAGGGTAAAGTGGGTGGGGAGGGGGAAGGAGGGTGGACGAGGGAGAGAGTGGGTCGAGGGGAGGGGGAGTTAGGTGCGTTTGAAAAGTTGCGGAACGACAGGCACCAAACCCTCCCTCAGATGTCTATCTGATGTCCCTCAGAGAAGTAATTTAAGACTCTTCAACAGCGGCAACTCACCTGCCGCGGCCCCGTTCCCCATCTTGCATCGTCAAACCCTCTCTAAACCCTCGCCATTGATGTCTATCCGCTTCCGTCACCCGCTGCCTCCTCTTTGGCCCTTCCCACTGCCTATGCGAACCACGCCTATGCGAAATCCTCGAAAGTGCTTCGCTCACCTCGAAAAATGCGAGCTGCTTGTCGTCCTCCACCCCCGCCCGTCCCTTCGCCTCGGCAACCCCTAGAGCTGGCTCGGCTGCTGCTGCCGAGCCTGAAGCTGCCGAGCCTGAGCCTGAGCCTAAGCCTGATGTCGAGCCTGCCTCGGCACGGGCGGTGAGTCTGGAACGAGAGAGTTTTTGGGATTGACGCCCATGCAGGGCTGGTCGAGTGACTGTACGCGGAGTGCTTGTAACGAAGGTTGAACTGCTCGATCCGACATTGCAGGAGGTCGTACGCGCTACAACGGCGAGTGGCGCAGATTGAGCAATTGAACTCGATACAAGCAGGTGCCTACAAGCGCCGCAAGAAGTGGTCGGTTTCGCATTGAACGGTGTAGGAAAACGACGAGATGGCACTGGTGCTGCGATCACTGGCGACTGGACGACAATGTGCGACACTGACAACGATCTCGAGGCCGCCATTGCGATCTACTTTCGCGACGCGACACCGATAAGGGAGACCTCAAACCGCGAGACTTATGATCTGCTATTTGCGACTCTGGTATCATGCGAAGCCGTCCCGCTAAGCAGCGAGCCGCGGAGAACCGTTGAGCACGAGAAGGTGCTCGGAAACGGTTCGTTACCGCCTGATAGGGCGATAAGGAGCAGCGATTCCCGCCGTAACAGACGCTAAAATGTGTGTGCAGAATGGAGGATTTTCAGACTAATAAAAGGTTGGGGTGGATGAGGTTGAAAGGTCGTGTGACACTAACGGAATGGAGGATAAAGCAGGACAGGCATATAACTGCAGTTTCATAACTGGTCCCTAAAACCAGGAGAAAAAAGGCTCTAATGATATTTTATAAGAACTGATATTTCAGGCAGCATGATATCAGCATGCAGGCCCTCAGATATCAGCGTAAAACACGCTGATTAAGCTGATTTTGTAGCTGTGATTTTCGTTTTCCCTGGAAATTCAGCATATGCTTCAATTTTGCACTGAATTTTCAATATAAACTACCTTGCCACACTGACCATTTTCCGTGTTGCTGTAGAAGTAACACTGACGAATCAGTGTAGTGTCGTGAGTCACACTGAAACGGACTTGGGGGGGGGGGGGGGGGTATGTGAGAATCAACGAGAATGAATGCACTATGAAAGAGTTGGGTACAAGTACTAACCCTAATTGGGTTATACCCCATATAGGCTACCCCACTACAGCCTACACAAAAGCATAAGCTATAATGTTCTGACACACCCCCATAGGCAAAGTGGGGGAGAACAAGGGGTCACAAGACCAGTCAAGCAAAGCAAAGCAAAGCTCAGGGTGGATCACAAAGTCACCACACATTCCGAGCACAAGTTTAAGGCCACAAGGCCAGTTCACATGCAGGAGCACATATATATATATATATAAGAGGCTAAGCAAACAAGAGCAGGTGTATATATATGTGACAGTACAAGCAAGGTCAAGAAGTGAGCAAGTGAGGCAAGACAGGCACAAGACCAAGCTGAGTACAGAAGCGCTGATGATCACAAGGCGCAAGTGCCTTGGTGAAAACATCAGCAGTGTTGGCCTCAGAGGCCACGTACGCAAGCCGCAACTGACCACGCTGCTGTAGCTCACGAGCAAGGAAGTAGCGAAGAGCAATGTGCTTTGTTCTGTGCTCCAGTCTCTGCTCTCGACACAATGCCAGCATGGCCTTGTTGTCTACGTACAGGACTGGCCTTGTGGTCACAAGACCAGTCAAGCAAAGCAAAGCAAAGCTCAGGGTGGATCACAAAGTCACCACACATTCCGAGCACAAGTTTAAGGCCAGAAGGCCAGTTCACATGCAGGAGCACATATATATATAAGAGGCTAAGCAAACAAGAGCAGGTGTATATATATGTGACAGTACAAGCAAGGTCAAGAAGTGAGCAAGTGAGGCAAGACAGGCACAAGACCAAGCTGAGTACAGAAGCGCTGATGATCACAAGGCGCAAGTGCCTTGGTGAAAACATCAGCAGTGTTGGCCTCAGAGGCCACGTACGCAAGCCGCAACTAACCACGCTGCTGTAGCTCACGAGCAAGGAAGTAGCGAAGAGCAATGTGCTTTGTTCTGTGCTCCAGTCTCTGCTCTCGACACAAGGCCAGCATGGCCTTGTTGTCTACGTACAGGACTGGAGGAGAACGAGGCGGCTCTCCAAGGTCGGTCAGCAGGTAGGTGAGCCAGCGAAGCTCCTGTGCAGCCATGGCCCCGGCGTAGATCTCGGCCTCACAACTAGAGCCGAGAACAGAAGACGAGCGAGTAGCCCGCCACGAGACAGAGCCGAAACCAAGGCTGAAGGTGTAACCCTGTGACGACCGCTGCGTAGCCTGGTCGTCAGCCCAAGAGGCGTCCGCGTGCCTAGTGAGGACCACTGGACTCTGCCCTCCAAGCACTAGCCCCATGCCCGACGTACTGCACAAGTAGCGCAACACTTTCTTCGCTGCAGCCATGTGCTCCGGTCTGTGTCTCCCAGGAGCAATATAGCGTGCGAGAATGCTAAGAGGGTATGCAAGGTCAGGTCGTGTGCAGGTCATCAGGTACATGAGGCAGCCAACAAGCTCTGGGTACGGGCCACTCGACTCTACGGACTCATCCGAAGGCAGAGCTGAGAGCGAGTGGCGAGTAGGCAGAGGAGTGGCCTCAGGCGAGGAGTACGTGAAGCCGAAGCGCTGAAGGACCTGCTGCACCATGTGTGACTGAGTCAGGGTAATGGTGCGGCGTGCTCTGTCCCGGGTGATCTGCAAGCCAAGGTAGCTGCGCAGTTCACCCAGGTCTGTGCACGTGTGTCTCTTCTACAGCTCGGACTTCACGTGGGCGAGTCCAGCAGTGTCAGCTGTGGCAAAGACCAAGTCGTCGACGTACACGAGGATGTAGAACGGCGGCAGAGAGGTGTCGGTGCGTAGAAACAGCGACGGGTCAGCTGTAGAGGGAGCAAACCCAAGAGCCGCAAGTATAGTCCTCAGTGTGTCGTGCCACTCGCGCGGTGCCTAGCGGAGACCGTAGACTGGCCGTCGGAGGCTCCACTGGGTGCCAGGAGGGAAAGTCCCAGTGAAGCCAGGTAGACGGCGCAACCAGATCTCCTCGTGCAGGCTGCCCTGCAGGAAAGCTGTGCTGAAGTCAAGAGAGTGAAGCTCGTAATCACGGTGAGCAGCTATGTGCAGCAGTACCCGAAGAGTGGTCATCTTCGGGGTGGGAGAGAAGGTCTGAAAGTAGTCAACTCCCTGCCGCTGACTGAAGCCACGAGCCACGTAACGCGCCTTGAAGACAGGCGGTGAACCAGACGGCCGCTTCACCCTGAAAATCCACATGCCACTGACGATGTTCGCCCCAGGCGGGGGAACCTCGTCAACGTAGGTGCCTGTGGACTTCCAGGAAACCATCTCTGCGTCCATAGCTGCCTGCCACTGAGAGGAGTAGGGACCCTCTATCGCCTCCACGTAAGAGCGCGGAGTCGGGATGTAAAGTGTATCCGGGTCTCCCTCAGAGGTAAGCAGTACGGACACGAGATGCGGTGAAGCAGCGGCCAAGCACTGGAACTCCTCCTACCTGTCCTCAAGGACGTCCGTGCCAACGGCATACTCACCCCCGACGGACGGAGGACAGACAGACTCAGACTCAGCAACAAGACTGCGGCGTAGTCTAGGCGACAGCGAGCAGCAAAGTCGACGAGCTCAGCAACTAGGGCAGACGCAGCAGTGGACTCAAAGGAAGGGTCATTGACAACAGTAGCAAGGAGACGCGTGACAGTAGGACTGGCAGCATGAAGAGAGTCCGACTCCGGGTCGGCAAGAGCAGGAAGAGAAGACTCAGGAGGAGAAGGCAAAGGGGCACGCAGAGGAGTAGTGGACGGACGCAGAGACATCCGGAGCGTGCCAGGGACAGGAGGAGGACGCTGACGCGAACCGCGACCACTAGTGCGAGCAGCACGGACAGGCGACGCAGGGCGAGAGGCAGGCTCACGACGCTCAGCAAGACCTCCAGTAGGACCAGTGTAGGGAGACGGAGCAGGCAGTGGGGAGGCCGGCTGTAATTGTAACTGTGACGGGACAGGCTGTGGACACTCGAAGGGAGGATTGTCAGAGGTCCATTGGTGATCCCCGATTGATCCTAGGGAAGGGTTACAGGCATGTTGGCCTGGGGAGTTATGGGCGCACTGACCCGCTACTTAACAAGCCCTTTTATCCCAATGGTCTAGCGGTTGGGATTCTGACATGGTATCAGAGCGGTCTCGGGCTCGAATCCCGGTGTATGCACTTCGGGCATCCCAGTGCAGGGGGGTGTCAAAGGTCCACTGGTGATCCCCGATTGATCCTAGGGAAGGGTTACAGGCATGTTGGCCTGGGGGGTTATGGGCGCACTGACCCGCTACTTAACAAGCTCTTTTATCCCTATGGTCTAGTGGTTGGAATTCTGACAGGAGGACAAGTAGAAGACGAGAGACCAAGGACCTGCTAAAGGAGCGGAACGAAGTACGGCCGAGGCCGCGCGGCGACTCCAGACACAGCAGGGACAGCACCAGTACCCCGAGCGGCAGCACCAGCACCATCAGCACCTCCAGCTCCAGTACCTCCAGCAGCACCAGTAGCACCCCCAGCAGGACCGCCTCCAGGACCGACAGCAGTAGCCTCCGCGCCAACACCCGCAGCAGCTCCAACTCCAGAAGTACCTGCAGGCCTAGCAGCTCCAGTACTCCCAGTACGAGCACCTCCGGGACCCGCGGCACCAGCACCCTCTGCAGCAGCAGAACCTCCAGTACCCGCAGCACCTCCAGCTCCAGCAGCTCGCCTCCAGCGCCGGGCAAACCACTCACGCAGCTCCTGTGGAGAGAGTGGCAACCGGCGAGACGAAGCACCCGGAGAACCGCCACGCACAGCACTGCCAGACGCCACACGAGCACGCCCAGCTCCCTCAGGCTCAGCACCTCCAGGCTCAGCACCTCCAGGCGTAGCACCCCCAGGCGTAGCACCCCCAGGCTCAGCACCACCAGGCTCAACACTCCCATGCTCAACACCCCCAGACTCAGCACCCCCAGGCTCAGCACCCCCAGGCTCAGCACCCCCAGGCTCAGCACTCCCAGGCTCAGCACCCCAAGGCTCAGCACCCCCAGGCTCAGCACCCCCAGGCATAGCACCCACATGCTCAGCACCCCCAGAGTCAGCACCCCCAGTCTCAGCACCCTCAGCAGCACCAGAGTCACCAGCGACCTCGACAGGCTCAACAGCGTCTACTTGGGACAAACCTGAAGGGGCAGGACCCTGAGGGGGGAGGGGGTCTACCGGGGGGGGACCTGGCACAAGGAAGAGCGGTGGCGGGGGGAGGGACGGAGTGCGGTAGGGGAAGAGACGGTAGTAGGGGACCGACTCGTCGAACGTGACGTCCTGGGAGGACAGAACACGGCGAGAGGTGGGGTGGTAGAACTGCCACCCTGGCGCGTTAGGGGGGAAACCCAAG